GGGGCTTTAGGGTTTAGGGTTTAGGGGTTTAGGAGCTTTAGGTGTTTTAGGGTTTAGGGTTTAGGTATTTAGGGGTTTAGGTGTTTAGGGGTTTAGGTGTTTAGGGGTTTAGGGGTTTAGGGTTTAGGTGCTTAGGAGTTAGGGGTCTAGGGGGTTTAGGGGTTTAGGGTTCAGGGTTTAGGGGTTTAGGGTTTAGGTGCTTAGGAGTTAGGGGTTTAGGGGGTGTAGGGGTTTAGGGGTTTAGGGTTTAGGGTTTAGGGGTTTAGGGTTTAGGTGCTTAGGAGTTAGGGGTTTAGGGGGTTTAGGGGTTAGGGTTTAGGGTTTAGGGGTTTAGGGTAGGGTTTAGGGGTTTAGGGTTCAGGGGCTTAGGAGTTGGGGGTTTAGGGGCTTAGGGGTTAGGGTTTAGGGGTTTAGGGTTCGGCTTACGACTTAGGAGTTAGGGGTTTAGGGGCTTAGGGGTTAGGGTTTAGAGTTTAGGGGTTTAGGGGGGTTTAGGGGTTTAGGGGTTTAGGGTTTAGGGTTTAGGGTTTAGGGATTAGGGGTTTAGGGTTGGGGTAGAGGCCTAAATGATGACCAGCATTATTCCTTATGGGTTCCGTACTATGGTTCTACCATAAAGGAGCCCAAAGCCCACTTCTAATCACCAAGGCCCCCTACATTGGGCGAGTCATTCAGAGTTTAGGGCTGTATGGCCTGAGGGCCCGGGAGTCTTCAGAGGGCTCGAGGGATACGTTCCTAGTTTTGGTGCTGTTAGGAGTTGAGGGGGGCTTGGGGTTCAGGGTTAAGTGTTTAAAGTTTAGGGCTCAAGGGCTTAAGACTGTGGGGTTTCAGATTCTTGGGGGGTTTAGGGGGTTTAGGGTACTATACGCTCTATAACCACAGGTTCCATCAGGGTTACCATACTGCCGGAGATGAGAAAGCTGTCAGCGGCTTGCAAGTTTCAGGTCTGAGGGGTTTGGCTTTACCATAAACGATCCGCGAACCCAAAGCCCCATTACAACCTAAACCCTAGACCCTAAACCCTCAACACTAAACCCCCTGAACCCTCAACCCTCCCGTTACTCAGGCTCGAGCTTTACAACCTCAAGCCTGCCCTCCACCCTCAACCTCTAAGCCCCAAACCCTCAACCCTAAGCCCTACACCCTCAACCCCGAAACCCTAAACCCTCAGTCAGTCAACCCTAGACCCTCAACCCCTAAACCGTCAACCCTAAATCCTCAGCCCCTCAACCCTAAACCCTAAACCCTCAACCCCTCAACTCTGAACCCCTAAACCCTCAACCCCTCAACTCTGAACCCCCAAACCCTCAACCCCTACACCCTAAACCCTAAACCCTCAACCCCTACACCCTAAACCCTCAACCCCTGAACCCCTACACCCTAAACCCTCAAACCCTCAACCCCGGAACGCGCTCAACCCCTGGACCCTGGCAGCTTTGCATGCCGAAGGCTCCGGTCTGCAAAGAGACCTTCGTCGGCCCCTCTCGGCGCATCGGATGAGCATCCTTGGGTTTAGGGTTTAGGGTGGGCTT